GGGGTTTCTGTTATTCTCGCCTGCCCGGCTGAGAGACCTTAATAAATAACCGTCATCTCCTTGTGCTTCTGGAAGCGTCGCAAAGCACACGTAGCAGGATTCCTATACAGTACCAAAATGCAGCCACCTCTGGGGGCCGCGCCGCAGCTCTGAGGAGGGGAGCTGAAGGACAAGCTGTTTGGGGCAGGGGGTGTCTGGGTTTGTACAGCGCAGTGCACCCTGGGGTCCTGGCCCAGGAGTGAGGCTGCTAGGAGCTACTGCAGTGCAGACAATAGCCAATGATAGTTGTCCCGTTTGACCCGGCCGGAGCGACCAAGGGCAGGGGAAGGCCTCAACCCAGATCCGCGCGTCACCTCTGCTCTAGGAAGGGGTGAGCTGGGGCTACCGCTCTGTCTCTTGCCGAGAGCCCCGGGGCACAAGCTGGGGGGGTTGGCCCGCCCCCAGGGCATTGATTCCGCCAGTGCTCAGAGGAGCAGAGCGCCTCCTGCTGGTCACCAGCACCCGCCAGCCAGCCCAGCCAGCCAGCCCGGAGCCTCTTCAGCTCCTGAGATCTGGGGAGGGGGAGTCACACGTGCTGTGACCTCCCCTCCTTGGCTTGGCTGCCTGGCCCCCTCCCTGTCCTGCCTCTTCAGGGCCACAGGGGCCTAGAAGGGCCGAGGTTAGCAGGATGCTGAGACTGGGCAAGAACAACCAGGAGGGTAAATGGGCATCGCTCCGTAGACACCAGTGGGGCAACAGACCTGCTTCCCAGGCGCTGTGGCTCTGCACCAGCGCACACCTCTCTGCGGGCCCCGGCCGTGCCCTGACAAGGACAAGGGGAAGCGGGAACAGGACCCAGACATACGCCTCCACCCTGCTGGCGTTTCTCCGAGGGGCCGGGGCTGCGTTCAGCCAGCAGAGCCGGAGCGAAAGAGACCAGCGCCTTGCTCGGCGCCGGGGGCGCTGGCGCGTTTCACTGCGGCTCATGGGGTGGGTGCCGTTTGTCTGATGATGATTTGCTGGTGGGGGGGAGGCAGTTTTTAGATGGCAAATGGAATTGGCCAGGCTGGCCGGAGCGATGGTGGGTCTAACCCAGTTTCCTCCCGCCGCCCAGGCAGGGATGTGCGTCGCCAGCCTCTGGGCCGCGCACCTGCTTGACGCGGCTGTGAAGAGCTGCTGGGGGGCGGCTCTGGGTCTCGCTGCTCCCTCCCCCTCCCCGCGCTTCCTCGCTCTCTGATCCCACTCGCTTCTCCTCCCACCTGTCTCGCCCCCCCTTTCTCTCACTCTGATCTCTCTTCCTCTTTGATCTCTCTCCTCCTCACCCCCAGCCTGTCCTCTCCTCCCCTCTCTTTCTTTCCTTCCTTCTTTCCAGAATCTCTTTCCTTCCAACCCCCCCCTCCTTTTTTCTCTGCCTCTCATCCCCCCCACCCTCCCCCCCGAAATGCCGTGCCGGGGTCTGTCAAAGATCAAAGCGCCCCCGTGAAATCCCATTGAGTCGACTGCAAGGCCCCAGATCTCCGTCCGGCCTCTCAACGCAGGGCAGAGCGGCTGGGGCCTGGCCAAACCCTTCTCACTCCGCATTAAAGAGCAAGGGGGGGCGGAGAGGGCCCTGGGGAGCCCTGGAGGGTCACCCCACGGCCCCAGGGATGCGGGAAGGGGCCCATTACATCTCCCGGGTCTCATCTCCATCCGGCTTGCCCTAGCGCTGTCTCACGTGAACGCCATAGCCTCGAATGCACCCATTCCAGCCGCCCCGGCAAAGTGCCCTTAGCGCTCCCCTCCCAGACAGGGGCAGCCGAGCCCTGCGGCTGGCTGGGAGACCTCTGCAGAGCTCAGCAGGGCTGGTGAGACGGTCGGGGGGTCCCAGGACCAATCCCTAGCTCTTATCATCTGTAGAGCTCAAAGCGCTTTACGAAAGAGGCCAGCCTTATTTTACAGATGGGGAAATTGAGCTCCAGAAAGGGGAAGCAATTTGCCTGAGCTCTACTCCAGTGCTCCAGGCACTAGGCCACACTCTCTGCCCCGGCCTTTCCTTGAAGAAGGGCAGCTGAGTCTCCAATGACCTGGGCTCATTACATGGTTACTAGCCATATGGAAGCACCTAAAAGGCCACGGTCAGGGCCCCCTGGTGCTAGGAGCTGCGTGTGCATGTAGTGAGAGACCGCCCCCTGCCTCAAAGAGCTTGCAATCGAAATAGAGAAGACAAAAAGGGCAGAAGGGGAAATTGAGGCACAGAGCCGGGACGTGACTTGCCCAAGGGCTCTGGGATGAGAACTCATTTTATTTGCTTTCAGTTCTTCCCTCCCCTTCCATTCCTAACCCAGCCTTTCACCTGCAGCAAGCCCCCACCCTGGGTCACAAGACAGGCTAAAACCCTGTGCTCCATAGCCCAAGCCCAAGCTGCTTGCAGTAGTAGGCTGTTATCCTCTATGTACACCAGTACATGGGGCACACAGGGGTCCCCTTTATTAGCAAGTCCGAGAACTCCCTGGAAGGGTCATGGGAACTAACAGGACTTAGCAATCCGTATAGCACAAGTACATCTATGCATGTGCCAGTCACTCCTCCGATTGCAGTGTAGACACACCCTTAGTCCCAGACGAGTTGCACCACAACCATCTGACCACGTCAAACGCCACAATCTCTGCACCAGAGCTCCGGTGCTCAAAGCCGCCCAAAAGATTGAGCTACGTGTTTCTCTACGAAATTAACAGGAATCAGGTGTCCAAATCCCCTAGCCTGCTTTGAGAACCTCACTGTGCCAGCTTCACATTGCATTGGTGACCCATGACCCCTCAAGGTCACCTTCTGCTACAACCTGGGTTTGTGGCCGAGACCAGCCTTTCATTGGTCCTTTCCACATGCCCAGTCCAGGGCTCGCGGTGGGGGAAAGGATCACTGGGGTGGTTGGAAATGTTATTTTTAATATATTCCTCCCCCTCACTTCCCTCCCCAAAAATAAATAAATCCTGGAATCAGCCTGGTTGCTCTTTCTCAAAGGGGATGAACAAGGAGTCCTGGACCCTAGCCTCCTGCTCTAACCACTACCCCGCACTCCTTCCCGGGACTGGAAAGAGAACCCAGGCATCCTGATGTGTAGCCCCCTCCCACCCAGCTCTAACCACTAGACCCCAGGGCAGGCCGCTCTCTGGGCAGGGACCGGCTCCTTCTTCTGTGTTTGTACAGCTCCGAGCGCCCATGCCAGGGGCTCCGGGGCCCTGCAGTATTAATAATTAAGATATGAGCAGAGAACCCAGCCAGCTCCCGGTAGCTGCCAGGACTCTGCTGGGGTAAAGACTCGCTTGTAAAGCCAAGTGGTGTGTGTTCGTAGAGCCCGAGCGCCGGGAGCCCTGCTCCGTGCCTGGGGCCTGCCACGCCCTGGGAGGCCACAGACAATAATCAGAGAGAAGCGGCAAAGAAACTGCAGCTCCCCCCCGCCTCCTTCGTCCGTGCCCCCCACCCAGCTCCAGCATGGCCCCTTGCTGCCTTTCAGAACCGCAGCTGTCTCCAGCCAGGCTGCCAAGCTGCCAGGGCCCTGCCAGATCCTCTTCCTCCGGCGCGGGGCTCGGCCTGCTGGCTGGTGCCAGCTTGATTCACTTCAACGTGCCGCTTTCCCCCAGCCCAGCCTAGCCTGGAGGCTGGGAAGTGTTGAGATTCCCCCACCCTGAGCCTCCCCGTCCCGCTGTCGATGCCCGGTAGCCCCCGGGCCGGCTGTGAATTCGCTGCCACGTGACCAGCTGCTGTTGTGGAAAGATGCGGCTATCGATCGCCCTGGCTGGGCAGGGGGACGCCAGGGGGGCTGGGAACCTGGGGCCCCGGCTGGGTTTAGGTCCCACAAGGTGGCTGTGGACAGGGGCGGCTGGGCCCAGCCGGGGGGCGAGAGGGAAAGGGCTGGGTTGTGGATGGTGAACGCCAGCCCCAGGCAGAGCTTGAGCGAACTACACGCTCACACACGTACACAGCGTAACGCAACCCAGATACACACACACACGCAGGCTGTCCACAACACACACGCACTGTACACAGCCTAATACACTCATGCACATCGACCCACACGGTACACAGCATAACACACAACCTAGCTACATGCAGACATACAGGCTCTACACAACATAACACACTCACTGGCATGTAAATAACAACCTAGGTGCACGCTCATACACAGGCTGCCCACAACATACACACACACTGTACACAGCATAACACACAACTAGATACACACACAGGCTGTACAAAAGAGAACACACACGTAGACACACACTGTACCTCGGAGAACACACAACTAGGTACACACCCGCACACCGGCACCCTCACAGGCTGCACACAGCATAACAAACGACACAGACCCTTGTAATGCACATGGCAGACATACATTCACACACGTAAACAAAACACACACACCACACACACCCCCTCACACCCGCCCAATGCCCCTGGCAGAACACACAACCTCGAAACACGTTCACACATGCCCTCAGCACCTTTTACACGAAACACCCGCTGAGCCATTCTGTACACAGCACACGTTGTGGTGCAACAATCGTACACAGTACAACAGCGTCACTCCCACAGAAGGCACGCGTCGTAACACCCGACCCAGACACAGCTTCACACGGGCTGTGCACAAACCACACACACACACGGGACCAGGCTTCCAGAGTGCTCAGCACCCAAAATGCACCCAGCGCACCACACGCTCGGCAGCTTCTTCCTGCTCGCCTACCCCGCTGCTGACCTCAGTGCTCCAGGGTGGCGCTAGGGGGCGCTGTGCTGCAGGGAGCCGTGGG